ACCCCCCCCCCCCCAGCAAAGACAAGGCTGTGCTCCTCCAACACTGTGAGAGAGAAATGTCGTCACAGGAAAACCAGCTGAAGGAAATAAAAGGAACATGTCAGAGGACGGCCGTAACCTTGTCATTTATGGTAAAGCTCGGGCCAGCGGTGAATTGATGGCGGAGAATAAAACATGCCACATAAATGTCAGCGCATATTAAAGAACACGCAGCTGCAAACACACGGGGAGAGTCAGAGAGTTCCAGCTGCGTCACGTCGGCCGGGCAGATTTAATCATGACAACACCTCTGTGAGTCAAGCTGCTGTTTGTCCGACCTCCTCTGTGAACGGCGCTCGACAGTATTAATAATAATAATAATCGCTCCACAGAGAGCGAGTGCTGCCGGAGAAGACGGAGGATTAACCTCAAACTGTGGAAAAGGTGACGGTGTGAGTCTCATCGCTGTGACTCAGAGAGGAGAAGCTGTGGCAGACTGTTTTTAAAGCACTTTGCACAGAGAGATGAGATAACTGAAGCAAAGAGGAGCAGAGGAATGTCACTTATCGAGTGCGACTTATCTAATCACTCCTTGTTGATAGAAGCTCTGATGAATGGAGCGTTGTGGGACTGACCTGTAATCTGGGATTTTCTCCGCCAGGCCAAAGTCTCCCACCACGGCCGAGCACACGCCGCTCTCCCAGCGCACCAGGCAGTTCTGCACACGGGGGTCACAGAGGTCACACATGTCACTTTATTACCGAGTGTTTGAGCGGTGATGTAAGGTTCTACTGTGAACAGCTTTTCATTTGCCGATGGTTTCCAAACATGCATCAGAAATGAGTGGAGTTCTGTGTTTTAAACAATGAAGGGATTATTTCACAATCTCTACGTCTCAGCCATATGACCACAACCTCCACTCAAATCTGATTTGCAAGTGTAAAGCAGTTTCGGGGGCGCGTGTGAAGTGAGCTGTGAGCTCATTGTTTCCCAAAGGATATGTTTTATACGTACACACGAGTTTCTGAAAATCTGCACTTTGGAAGGCGTTTGCGTTTCCTCACTCGTGTTGACGAGAGACTCAGAGGAAAAAAAAGTTTGTTTTACAAAATATCCATCAGTGCGGACAGGGTGTTAATAAATTGCAGATTTGTTTGGTGATACCGTGCACGACCACATCCCAATATAAAAATGTCCTTAAGGAAAGTGGCCCCAAGTTAAAAACGTTTAATTAGTGCATGTAACACATTCATGTATGTTACTCCGCCCGATCAGAGTCCCAGTGGAGCATCAGTGTGCACAGCGATGAGTGCACGTGTGCACCGGTGCGTGCACGTTAGCCGTTACCTTGGAGGTGAGGTCCCTGTGGAAGATGCCCTTGCTGTGCAGATACTGCAGCCCGCGGGCGATGTCCAGAGCCAGGTTGAGCCGCACGCTCCACGACAGGTACACGTTGCTGCCCAACAGCTGCTCCAGGTTCCCTCCGTTGATGTACTGGATGATCGGGGTAAACACAAGACGTTTATTAAACACGCACAGTCCGCATCACATTTATTCAAGGTTTAATATGAGAGCTGCTTCAGATATTGTTTGGGGAAACTGGGACCAATATTATTATTGGTATTTATTAACATGGTTTCTACGATGTGCTCTATCTGGGACATGGAATATTAAGGTAAGAAACCTCAGCACAGAAAATGATCTTGAGCTGCAGCCACAAATGTGTGATCCACTAAGTCAACACATAGTTTTATCAATGAATAATAACAAAACACTTATTTTCAGTCTCGGTGTGAAAGCTGCTGCTGACGTGTTGGATCAATACGAGATGATGGAAACACTAGTTCAGGCGTCAGAGCATCGAGTCGCCCTCTTATCTGCTGATCGTTCTTCTTTTCACTGCTCCGTTACCACGGCAACATCAGGTTGACCCCTAGATCACTAGTGTCTGAGCCCCGTCTCTGACCAGCGAGGACTCAGCTGAGTGCATCAGAGCGTCAGTGAGAAGACGGTGAAGTGTCTATTTATCCTGTATTGTGCTTTTCCAGTCTCAGCGACCACTCGAAGCTCTTTACAGGACAAGTAGCATTCACCCATTCACACAGCTCTTCCTCTAACCACAATCCATTCATGCCGTCAAGGGTAATTTGGACGACCCACTCTACCCCCTGAGCCACAGGCACCCATTACTTTAGTTTACTTGACAGGAACAGTGAATATTAAAAGTTAAGAAGATAATTCTCATCCCTCATTCGTGGGCAGGCAATAAAATAATTGAAAATACAAACTAACCCTTTAAAAGCAGTGTCTAAATTGTAGTTGTGGCTATTTCAAAGTTGACTTTCCTCCAAGAAACTGGTTTGAAAACAATAAAAACTCAACATCATCCAATGGTTTCACGAGATTCTTTACTCGTGACGGGTTTACTTGAACTTTAATCTTCTTATTCTATCAGTAATAAAATAAAACCCTGATAAGCTTTTGTCTTGCAGAAGGTTAACAGTGTCTTACCTCAGTGAGAGCGTGGAGCTGCCCCTCGTGGACACACACTCCTATAAACCTGGAGGACGAGCAGACAAACAGTTTATTAACAAGGAGAGAAACTGTGTCCAGATGCACAGAGACGAGGATGAGACAAAGCAGAGAGACACTAAAACAGGAATGCTGGCGGGGGGGGGGGTACCTGAGTATGTTGGGGTGGGACAGACGGTTCATGAGCTGCACCTCCCTGAGCATGTTGGCTCGGTTACTGGCCATGATGTTCATCTTCAGAGCCATCACCTGACCTGACACACGATGCTGGACCTGGATCACACGTTAAAACACAACGACACATAAACACGTTATTTCAAACGACTCAGATGATTCACAGTTCACGGGGAAGAGATTTTCAAAACTGACAGTTCAACACCGTCTGTGTGGAAATCGGTCAGTTGGGGAGATGATGCAACTCCATTTGTTGCTTGTTCCACTTTTCACAGACACACAACAGTTGATGAGAAGCTTCATTTAAAACAGCCCAGGAGGATATTTAACAACAGGACAGGCCCGCAGCACCGGATTAATGATAATTTATTATAAATACACAACATCACATGATTAAAACCACCACACTGATAAATATTAACATCAGTCGGTCAGATGAGTTTTCTTTGTTTGCTTTGGCTGCTTATCTGGCCCCGACCTGGTATGGTCACCATGGAGATGCAAATTTAAAGATCTTAAACTTATATATTTTTGTCTTTTGCCACTCTAGCTATTAGAAGTAGAGCACCCTAATATTTTTTGGCTGACATGAAAACAGAACATTTGAGCTCAATCACACAAGTTGAAGTGGAAGATCAGGATCAGAATCTTTTAATCCCTCAAACCAAAGTTCCACATCAGTCAGGCTCTAGTTATAAGTGCTACTCTAATTAACAGACCTGTCCATCAACGTGAGCGATAGCATGTTGCTAGCCTGTTATTTTGTTTTTGAGGGGGTGACACTGATGTTTCCGTTCTGAATCAGGAATCAGACTTTTACCGCACAAATAATTTCCTATGAGCTATTAATAAAGATGAAGTGGCACTGGAGGGTTTCAGGTTGTGTCTTCATTAGTTACATGAGAGTGTAACGACAGACATGAGGGTGTGTGTGTGTTTGTGTGACTGAGGTCTGAAGTCACAACTGTGGGGGCTGAAGTCAGTGTGACACTGGCCTGCAGCTCAGTTGCTCAGAGTGGTGATGGAAAAAACACAGAGCCAATTAGAGACCAGACTAGACTGCAGCAAGTAATGCCATTAACACACACATGGACGCACAAATACACAAACACACACACGGAGGATGTGCATGGCCCTCTTCCTCTTAACAGCCAGTCAATGAGAGTCAATCTCTGCAGCACTAAATCCTTTCTCCACAGAGCCACTTGAGGACGTCGGCCTTTAGAAAAGTGCTGCGACACACATGCATGGACGCACACATGTAAATCTCTCACACACACATAATTGCCGTACACTAGCTGGTTCATCTTGCAAGGGTGAAGCCCGAGCAGAAATGTAAACACCCAGGAGGAGTGTGGTGGCGGTGCAGACTAATCTCTGCTTCTCTTTATGCATTTACAACACTTGGAGGATGAGGTGGACTCTTGTAGGACACACACACACAGTCACACACTCCTGCTTCCACTGACACACATTTATCCAGCAAACACGACTGGATTTACATCACTCTTGTCACACACACACACACACACACACACAAACACACACACACAGCTTATACTGCCAGCGTGAGCTAACTGCTGATGATGCAGCAATGGTTGGAATTGACCCGAATGTTTTGTCCCGACACTTTTTGGCTTGAAAACAAACAACCCATCGCTCATTGTGTGTCTGGCTCAACATACCTGGTGTGACATTTTCTCAGGTGTGTGTATTATTAAAAACTCTGGAATGACGGACTAAGAAGATTAGGTGTTTTTCCCCTGACATGCTTCATGTCAACCATTTTTCTAGTCTTCTCCACTGGAATGATAATGTCCACGCCTACACACAAACACCACCTAGGACAGACGTCTGCTCACAGGCCTCGGACACTCCCTAAAGCTCTCGCTCAAACGTACTCGGCCTTGTAAAGTACTGCTGTCAGCAGAGGAAAGGTCACATGCAGCGCTCTCGCTCTGCGCGGCCAACATGTGCAGCGGTGTCTGTCATTAGCCGGCGGCCCGACGTGGTCGACTGATGCACAGAGGAGGAGGGTTGGTCTGAAACTGCAGAATGAGGATTCACACAAGGGCAAGAGAGACGTGTTGTGTTTTTAAAATATCTGGGATTTAAAAGATATTTCTATCTTCTTGTCTTTTTCCAAATTTTCTAATAATAATTTAGCTGCTAAAATACAAATATCAGGCACACACACTCCCATTATCTTTTATTTATGTATATCTGTAGTCAGAACAAATGTTTACGTCAATGTGGCCAAAACTTTGAGTATATGTGAAAAATACTTTTCAGGTATCCACAAACTTTCATCCTGTAGCGGCGATTCAGAAAAAAAAAACTCTGCAGGAGAAATGACATGCTGCTGCAGAGCTGGGGTGTGACCACACAACCAACACACAAGTATGACTTTGCCTCGAGACACTGGGTCAGCTCTGAAGGCCTCCTCTCCCCTCATGGATGCCATGGTTACTTCACACACTTCCCACCAGCAGGAGCCATTGTTGTGGTTTCAGCAGCTCAACGTACACCTTCATAAATCCAGATTAACTTCGAGATGAACCACACTGGGGCACGCAGATAAACGGGGTGGGGACTGGCGGAGAGGAAATACATCAATATACACACACATGCTTTGAAAAAGAGTTTCTTGTAGCTATTACACAATAAAAGTTAAGACTCAAGTTATTGCAGTTTTTAAATAAGAGAAAGTTCCCAAAATAAAACAGGATCTGCTCCTCAAACAGTAACATCGTCATTAAATACACAACTTCCTCAGCATTTAACCGAACTAAAGCACAACTTGCCTCAGACGCAGCATTTTGTGACAAAACCAGGAAAACCTCGGCCAATTTCACACCAGAGCTTCATGCTGAAGTGAGAGGAGACTGTGAGTTAACGTCCCTGAGGCGGTGAACTCCACTCACTCTGAGAAAATGACTTCTCCTGCACAACAACTGAGGGCCTGAGCCGTCGCCTGAGGCTGCGCTCTCAGTTAAAGCGTGATGAAGCAAAGAGTGAGCGAGTGTTATGTGAATTTATGTGTGCAGGCGACTTGGTTCAGAAACAAAACCGCAGTGCAAGGAGCTGAACACGTCCCGCCTCAAGTTCATACATGTAGAAATACACGTTTGAGTTCACTGGTTTCTCATCAACAAGCGGCTTCATTTAGTTTTTTACGACGTGGAAAAGTTTGAGAGAGAAGACGGAGATGAGGTTTTCCAGCAGCAGGTCACTGGTTCACTTTTTGTTTTCATCGCTGCAACCGGATGCATCAGCGTTGGCACTGACCTTATTAAGCTGATTGGCTGTAAACCTCAACATGACCAATCTACATTAAACACAGTTGCTTCTTCAGCGTCATTAACTTTTATCTCTGGGCCATTACTTCAATTCATTCACAGCCGCTGTCAGTTTTAAGAACAACAATCCTCGGAGCCATGTTGCTTTTTTAAATTCAGGAAACATCTTTTTTTGTGTGTATTCAATCAAGGAAATCAAGGTAGAGGCCGAGACTTCAGACAGGAGCAGAGGACGAAAACTTTTTTTAAAGGCGTTTCAATGAACTGACTCTTCAAAGCCTGATGGGACAGAGCCAAAAAAAACAGCCGGGCTCTGCGCCGCCACAAAAACATCCAGCAATCTTTGTGACACTGGCGAGACGCTCATGCAAACACTGAGCCGTTTGTTTACCCTGTTACAAGGGAGTGGCTTTCCTCGAGGTCGAGCTGAAGACGACCACATCGACAACATGTGGACGGGAGGAAACGCTCATTGTGCGCTGATGTAAACAACATGAATCAATGGTGCAGATGCATTGTATGAAAACACTGATAACTATAAGAAGAGGAGGAGGAATTAGAAAATATATAATTGTGCAACTCTTGCCCAACACTTCCCTATTTCAGTCCTGAGTTGAAATATTTTAAAAGCGATAAACACGGTGGTTCAAGTGAAGACAGGCACATCAGCACTCCTTGTGTTTGTGTGGCTGTGCAGAACATAAACAGAGCTACATACCTGCACAGTGAATGGCAGGCGAGCAGGCCCTGACTGGAGAGAGGGAGGAGAGGAATAATGAGGGAAAGGTCCTTACGCTAAGCCACTGATGTTCAAGTCTGCACTGGCTCTCCCATTCCAACGCCACCACAACCCAACAGCAACACAGAGACACACACTGTCTCCTAATCCTGAACGCTGAAACCGATCACGAGCACAAAGGTGACAGCTGATGATGGACTGGGGTTTGATTGTGTGCGGTTTTTTTCCCCATCCTCCTTTGTTGTCGTTTTATCTTTCCAGAGAAGAAACTCTAGCAGCAGCCAGGATTTACAAAGAACTGGTCACATCTCAACACGCCCCGACGAAGACGTCTCACAATATCTGTCTCTTATGATTCACGAGGACTCGCGGCTGAACCGAGCTCTGAAACAATTAAGACATTCTTTTCTCCTGAAACATCATGTATCTAATAACTCGACTTAAAAGGCTTTAGAATGCGACAACTTTGATTAAATGAACACAATTTTAAAGTTCTTAAAGTTTGAAAGAGTTCTTCTCGGCCCATGTTTCACCAAATGTCAAGAAAACTGATTCAGTAGTTTTTGTGTGATCCTGCTAACAGACAAATGACAATGAAATCATAACCACTGTGGTGGATTTAAAAATACGCATCAGATTATTAACAATAATTAAATTAATTATTAGCTGCAGCTCTAATGACGATACATGAATTACAAACAGCTGCGAGTTTTAATGCTGCAACAGATCTGTGCACGCACAACTAGAACATGTGATGACATTTGATGTTTAGAGAAATCTTTGTGGCGATATGGCGTCAATACATCATCACAATATGATTAAACTGGAAATCTAAGAGTTGAAAGCAGCCTAATGGATTTATGCCAAGCAACTGTTGTTGACAGCAGATAAAACGAGTTATACACAACACACACACACAAAAGCAGTGGCACCACAGCAGTGTTTGGCAATGCTTCTCCTTCACACAACCGCTCTGTCACAAGCAGCTGACACACACACACACACACACACACACACACACACACGTGCACACGTCCTCTGGAGAGTTCTGTTTTTAATCCTCTTTATCCAATTACTCTTTTAACTTATTATTATCATCATCGCATCTCATGAGCATAAAATCCCCCGACACACAAACAAACCAGCTGATTTGACAATTTCCATGATGACTCATGTAAATGTGGCCTTTTCCAAAATTAATTTTCCCCCTTCCCCTTTTTTCAACAATCACCAAAACAAGCAGAATCTGAGGTGAAATTATTTCTTGGACCAGCGTTGATGACAGAGCGACGAGTCGAGATCGAACAACGACTCTGTGGAGAACAACAGATCAAAACGTTTTTTGATTGACAGCAACAATTATTGTTTGTATCCTAATTGACTGTGCAGAATACTCAACAAATCCTACTATTTGTTGTACAAAAGACAATTCTCCTAAAAGCTACTACTAAAAATTTAGATTTCACTATTTTAACCAAAATCATTTTATGAAAACACAGTGAAACAATAATTAATGTAGTTATAAGCAACAAAAACTAAATATAAATGCTGATATTAAATGTTACATGAAAGTTGAGGTTCAGTTTTTTTTAAACTGCAGTCTTCTGGCAAGTGTTAATGAAAACGGGTATAAAAGAATACATATCATATTTTAAAAGAGTTCTCCATTTTTGGGAAATATATGAATTTGGATTCTTGCAGAGATGGATGAGAAGATCCAACATACAAACAACCCTAGCTCACTGTTAGCTAGCTATAAGCTAGCTAAGTGGAAATACAGAAACTGCTTTCTTCAAAAAGTAGAACATAACAACCTGTAAAAACCACAACGTGCTATTTTATCACTTTTGTATGAATTAAATTAATGAATTAGCTTTGGCTCAGCGAACAACTATAGCTTCATCATACAGTAAACTAAATCATTCTTCTCATCCAGCTTCTGACAGGAAAGTGAATCATTTCAAAAACGGTGAACTCGTTCAAACTGTCTGGATGAAATGCCACATAGTAAATTTATTTTGGCCCAGACTGAACACGGTCATCCGGCCCACATACCGAGTGGAATGACGGCTCCTGTTTGCCAGATCTGGGCCTGAATTTGGGCCGTGTTCACAAATTACCACACGGGTCACTTTAGTTTCACGACCAGATTACAACTTGCCTTCAGCACAGCATGTCTGAAAAAAACGCCCACTTCTGTTTTGAGACATGTGCTATTTTACATTTTCTACTTTATTCAGGCTCACATCCATGTTGTCCGGGGCAACAAGGCGACCAGAAGGGCTGCACCTCTGCCTGAAGTGGCCCACATCCTATCTGGGATCGTAAAGACCAATATTGACCAACAGGAGAGACTTTAAGTGCCTGTGTTGTCTCTGACTCGACGGTGGAGCTCTGCAGGCTTCTGAAAACACTGTCATGAGACTTTCATGTCTCATGTAAATGATGGAGACAAATGAGAAACAAATCTGATAAGAGGCCTGTTCTGTGTTTCCTGGTTCTTAGACAGCAGGTGCAATCTGCGTTAGCAAATATACCATCTATTATCAGGAGGGGAACAGCTGGAAAATGACGCACTAACACAGTAATCCAATTAGCAATTAAACCATCAGGTTTTTTTTTTTAGAGAAACCCTGCAGCACGGAGAAACAGACGATTACAACTTCCTGTGAGTAATGGTTCAATTTCTTTCTGAGTGGTTTTATTGCTTGAGCTTTCAAAAACATGCAAACAACTAAAACAGGAGTCTTACAAGGCCAAAGCTGGTTGTGCACACACGCAGCATGAACTGCCTCTACGAATATTGAAGGAAGAAAAACAATACCTGAAGAATTTGTCTTGACACGTGTGCTCCCTTCCTTTCTACAGCTTTTTTTCTGTCTTGCACTTCTATTTTGTGTGTTTTCCAGGGTTGCACAATCACGCGCTGCAGAGAGGCTCCATTGATCTGCACTGAGGACTGAAGCTCAACACACACAAACACACACGGCAGGAGGCCAGAGCCTTTGCAGCCCAGAGCAGGACATTCATTTCAAAGCCTGAATGCAAAGTGCACGCAACATATACCTTTAAGTTCACGCTGAATCTAATCAACAAAAACATCTGAGATGTTCTACAGCAGCATGTGAAGCCATTTCCTCTGAACTGCAACAGGATACACGTGAACAATCCTTCAGTCTGCAACCTTTTTAAATGGGACTGATAACTGCGCTAACAATTTTGCATTTTTATGGCTCGATTAAAAGGGCAAGCTTATCCAAACCTAAGTGCCAGTGGTAAACATGGTCACATTTGCATGCTCATTGGAAATTCAAAGGGCAAAGCTGAGGGAGTGGCTTCTGAAGGCTGGGTGGCCTGAAGAGGCTGAAAAGAAGAGGAGAATCCACAACACGCAGTCGTATATAAAGAGGAGGGTCGACTTGGATTGTTCAGAGAGCAGGTTGTAACTTTAAATGAACCAAATGTCACGCATTCAACGTGGATCACGAAACACTGTAGCTGCTTCCAGACACTTTCTTGAAGTTTTGAAAACAGCTCATGTTAAGAGATATGATTATCAAAAATTACAGCGAGAACAATTTCAAAGAAACGTTGAAAACCAATATCTAATCTGCATCTATTTCTAAACTCAATATCTCAAGCAACAGTACCAGAAATGAGTCAATTCCAGTTAATCAAACGTGGAAATTCCCTGTTTAATTTTCCAATGAAGTTGTCACCTGGCAGCAATGACAGACACTCGGCTACAATCCCACAGAGCAAACAAACTCAAAGAGGAAGCAGGCGAGGGCTGAGAAATAAAAAATAAAAAAACACCACCAACAGTCCTGTGAGTCCACGATGCCACTAAAGAAGCTGCTAATAATCTCTAATTAACAAGAGGGCATCGTTGCAGACACGTCTCAAGTGGGTTTGATTTTGAGGGATTAGAGTTTGAAGTGAAGACTCAACACACGACGTGACGATTATTACATCAGTAACCGATGAGACTTGACTTTGGTACCCGCAGACATTCGGTGAGACACTTAATCTGTCATTAAACCCGCCTTCACAGCCCCAGCGCAGAGTTCGGCCTCAAATTGTGCCTGAGATTAACAAAGGAGATATACCAAGATAGAAAATAAGCCACAACATAATAAATATAAGCTAAATAAGTATAAAATTAAATATATAATTGATTAATTAAACACTATGTCCAGATTTCTGAACTTGAAATACATCCCTAATGTTGCAGTGGAGCTACAGGTGAATTTCAACTAAATTAAAATCATCATCATGAGCCTACAAAACAAGATCTCTTCTCAAAGATGATTCACATGCTTCTCTTCAGTGAGTCACACCACCACACGGGACTGTTTGGGACAGCTCCTCTTCAATGAGGCTTTCCCTGGGCTTACAGTCTCCAAACAAGCGAACAGCAGCGTGACAAGAGATGAAGGCTGCTGCTCCGAACAGAGACCTGAGTGTAGGGTTACCTGCACGTGTGCCAGAATCTACCCGTCCTGACCGTATCCACTTACACACCACAACACACTGCAGTGACCCACATGTTGTGCAAGGGGGGACACAAACACGTGTGGAGGACAGGGGACGAGGAGAGGGGGACAGTGTGGTGCAATGATGCCTGTAAAAATATCTAATATTCTCCATCGCCAACTTGTTACTGGTGTTTAGCTGAAGAAGCACTGGTTGCCATAGTTATAGAGATGGTGAGAGATTGAAGTTGAGTCAATTTAACAAGTCAGCAGCTGCGAAGAAGTTGAGTTCACTTCACACTCGGTCTAATCATCACAAATAATCAAACACAGACAGGGATGATGCTGGGTCTCCATGGAAACCTGGAGGATGTGCACGTTGAATCTCAATCTGGAGCATGTGTCCCACCAACAAAACACTAAAAGTAAACGATGTGCAAGAACTTTAGTGCGAGGACGAAGACGCCTCCTCTCACCTTGAACACCTCAGAGAAGAAGCCGGCTCCGATCTTCTCGCTGGTGAAGTCGTCTATGCGGGCCAGGCTGGACACGGCGCTGCGCAGGGCCCGGTAGGAGGACGGCCTGGTCCGGTTGGTCCCGTGGACGCTGTGCATGGGCAGCTCGGCGGCTCCCTCCTGCTGCGGCTCGACCCGAGTCTCCGACTCCATCTCGGGACGGCCCGGGAGGAGATGGAGGGGGCGGGGGGAGGACGTGGGATGTGTGCTTGTAGTTTAAAATCCAGCCCGGCTACTATTTACATGTCCCATGTCCGCGGCAAGGCCACGGCGCACGTCTCTCCGGATTGGACGGGAATGAGGAGCGTTCAGTAGTAGTGGGTGGTGGGGGGGGATGTCGCAGCTGTGGTCGGGCTCGGTTCTTCTGTCGGAGTCCTGCAGTTGTGCGTCTTTAGCGGAGCGTGCAGCTGCAGCGGTGCATCCTGCGGAGTCAGTGCGCAGTTTGGTTGAAGTCCGTCATGCCGCGCAACGCTGGAGCCAAATACTTCCTCTCTGAACTGCGCAGGCTGGTGGTGCTCCTCCTCCTGCTCCTGCTGCTGCTGCTGCTGCTGCTGCTGCTCCTGCTTCTGTCTTGGCAGCGGTGTCCTCTCTCTCCCTCGGTCTCCTCTGCTCCTCCTGCAGTGGAGAAGGCCGGGGCTCCCCTCTGTGGTTCCACCAATTGGATGGTGGGCTCTCCGGTGCGCACGGAGCTGCCTCACTGGCGCTGCAGCCTATAGAAGCTGGAGAGGGACAGACAGGAGGGGGGGGGGGAGACACACGTCAATGCACTAAATGTTAAAGTGCGTGTGATGAGACTCAAACTGCTCCTCGTGTCGCACTTGTGATCCCGGTTCCAAATTATCAGGCTGCACGTTGAGAGCTGTGCAGCACTGGCGCCATTAAGGCTCGAATGCACGTCTGGTGGCTGCTCTCAACATTTCCTCTGCGCCAACATTAACACTAATCAGGTTAAATGTGCATCGCATGAGTTGTGGTGTTTAAATGTTTGACGCGTTATCTGCTGTGCGGTGATAAAAGCCCCGGGGGCAGCTCTCGGTGTCCCTGGCTGCACTTTGCACACTCTCACGCCGGCTCTACCTGATCCCGGAGGAGCACCCGGACAGTGTCCGCAGGTCTCCTCCGACATCGGGGGGTCTCCGGGCTCCAGGAGGCGGCTCCTGACGCGCCGCAGAAACCCTGCGCGTCGCTGGGGTTCGGCTGACTGACCGCTGGGGGTGAATTATGGATGAGCCGAGTTCGTGAGCTAAAGTCGCCGATAGTGATGCACGCGCACAGGAAACGAGCTCCGTGGTTCAAAGTGAAAATCGCTGACGCACAAGTGCACGGAGGAGCTGGGGGACGCGTGGTGGTGGAGGAGGCGCTAACTCACCTGGCCTTCTCCCCCCCAAAAAAAGACAAGCTCCACATGCGCCGGTGTCCTCTGCTGAGCGCCGGGTCCAGATCAGCCGCAGTGTCCGGTTACCGACGGCTTTATTTTACCGATGAATCATCTCCGTGCGCCGCCTTCACGCAGCACGGGCTCCGGTGGTTTCGGTTTACAGCTCCTCCGCTGCCTCCTCTCGACGTGGGTTTGGCCGCGTGAAGGAAGAGGAGCGCTGACTTTTGGCTGCGCTTTATTGGAGGCGGGTCCACACGTGACCGGCGCAACAATGCACCTGTGGGGGCGCATGGTCCGGCCCAGCTCCCACCTCCATGTCTGCTACAGGGTCCACTCTGTGCCTGACGCAGGGGGGGACCACAGGATGTGTGGATGAGAAGTCTGACCTTTGTGCCATCGGTGGACACAGAGTGGAGGCCTGTGCAGAGTGGACTGTCTCTGGGCCCATGATGCTGGTGTGTGCCGCATGTCAGAGAGATTCGTTATGTTTCAGGTTTATAAAATGAAACAGAGAGAATATGAATAAGTCTCCAAATTGATTATTTAGTCCAATTATCATCCCCAAACCCAAAGAGAATCAAATTCGTTTGATCACTTATCACATGTACTTACTTCTGCTGAGGAGGTTATGTTTCTGCAACTGTCTATATATTTGTAGGATTACGCAATAAACTGCAGGACTTGGTGGAGGGATGAAACTTGCATGGGCCGAGAAGGAACTCATTCAATTCTGATGTGAAACTGGATAAAAGAGGAAGAATCATGGCAAGATTTTCACCGATCTCCTGGAAAACAGTGCATGGATGTTGGTGAAATAAATCAGGGATATTTAGGGAACTGATATCTACGAGTGTGTGCAGTATTGTCGTCAGTGAAGCTCTATCTCTAAAAGACTGTGACACTTTTCAAAATGAAGCCGCCATATTTAACAGGGTCCCAAGCCAAAAAGGTTGTGCCTTTGGCGGAGGTATGGGATCCATCGAGTGCCATTCCAGTTCAGTAAGAGCTTTAAAAGACGACCATGACTCAGACGTGGATATAAACACCCCTCACAACTGATTGTGAACATTGTGTGAGGGGCACCTGAGGGTGCTTAATACCAGAGAGCCATAAAACAGTGTGTCATACAGCGTGGAGCCATCTCACACCTCACAGCCACATACTCCGCGGAGCGACATACCGTTAACACGTGGAGCCGGAGGTGTGCGAATCTCTCCGAGCTGCTCGGGACGAGTTCATGAGCAGATCTGTGATGTGCGTCGCTGCTTTCGTGAATAAAACATGCAATCAGTTTATTGTCTCCGTCCTGAAGCCTAAAGGAAAAACCACTGAAGTCACACCACTGTCGCAGATCATAATAACTTCTATTTATTATTTAGTGCCGCTGATCACTTATTCATTAGCTGACTGCTATATTTGCTTTGAGTTCAAGTTGGGCTTCAGCGAGCGTGTGTGTGAGGATTATGTGGAAGCATTCATGCATGTGTGTGTGTACCTGTGTGACAGGGGATTATGTTGACCCCCGCTGACCCCTCGGACCGGTCTCCAGCGACTTTATCACCTCGTGGGGCTGTTTACTCTTTGATAGAGATTTGTGTGTAATGTCTGTCTAAACTGCTAGCTGCTAGCTGCTAACAAGTTAAACTACAGAGGTGAATGTGACTGAATCGCTCGTCTTCTCTAATTTCTTATCAGGATCAATAAATCAAACTAAAACTCATTTAGAAACCAATAATCATTAAATCAATACGTGATTTTAACAGACTTGTTTAGTTGGACTCATCCTATAGTGAAGACTGATGCTCCAAGCAGCATAAGGGCCTGAAATCAATGTGAATCCATCTTTCTTACCTCCTATATAATATATTTTAATGAGTGTGTCTCCTGTGGTTTCATTCAGATCCCCTGCTGAAAAGTTTCAACAATGCCCGGTCGGAGAATCAATAACACAATCTAACACATGAGCTGTTTCTTTCCACAGGACGGATCGGTCTCTACAGAGGAGAACAGGAAACGTGGGACCACAACAGATCCACCAGCTTTTACAAACAGTGACCGAGAGGAAATGATATCCTCACTTCCTCATTTAGATTTTTAGATTTTTAGTTACTTTTACAGAAATAATTCCTGCTTTGGTTTTTCTTCTTCTTCAAAATGATTTCAATCACATTACATCTTTTGTGATTCACAAATTCAACAATACCTCAGATCACTGGTCTAGGCCTCTCAAACTGAAACTCCAGTTTAAATAAAACATCAAATTCGAGCCTTCCCTGCATCTGAAATTCCAATTTCCACCTTTCCATCCAGGTCGGGACAGTAAAATCCATATCCCGAACCTGCTGCGTCTCCCCCATCTGACCGTCCCAGTGGTAGCCCCTTGTTAGAGCTCATCTGTGGGTGCTAACGATCACACTCTCGCCTGCCCGGCCTCGCATGCAGCCCGCCGGCGGGGGGCCGGGGGTCTTTATAATTGGTTTTAGGAGCACAGCAGCTGCTTCGAACGCCCGCACGCCAGTCCCCAAAGGAGGTGCAGGAGTAAGGGGGTGGGGGTGGAGGGGCTGCCACATGGTCCACCCCCCCTCCTCAACCTCCTCCCCCCATCTTGGATGAAAGACTGCTGACAAACAGACAAATAGACTTCTAGAGAGAGTGGTGCTGATGTTGGTGGGGGAGGCCTATGAATAATCTATATTTTTAAAAAAATATTTTTCCATTTCTTATGTAGCATCAGTTGGAATCGAAGCCACATTTCAAAAATATTGTTTTTGTTACCGTCTTGTTTTGTGGGGAACAAAATACAGAAGAGAACAAATGCACCTGATGTACAGTTTGCTCCACGATTCCTTCAATGTGCTTTCAAAAAATATATAAATTAGAAGAAAAAGCCAGAACTCACCTGCTGCTGTCCCACTGGTGTCTGTCCATGTCCAACGTCTGCAGAAAAGTGAAAAAGAAAGAAATAAGTTATTTTGCAAATAAGGTTTTTATGCTTCGTGAATGTTATTTTTGTTTCATTTGTTAAAATATTATTTACTTTCACATACAGTAAAAAGCTTTAAATCTCCTGATAGATCAACAGGATTAACAACAAATATTAAATCAGATTAAATTTAATGACATGATGGTTGTAGTTCTCGTAAATCATTTAAAACGGCAAGAAAAGTGAGTTTCCCCTCAATATTTTCCACATCTTTTATTGAAGATGCATTTTGTGTGGATTTATTAAACCACATTATAAAACTAAGGACCTCAAGGACCTCTTGACTTCAGAGGAAATTCTCCGAAAATAATCAAGGTAAAAGTCAAAACCCTCTGAATTTTAATTAATGAAAATGGTCACTTTGGCTCCTAAAACTTTCCCGTTCATCCCCAGGGGGAAACCCATCAGCCTCACTGGCCCCCAGGGCGGTGGAGGTGCTGGAAAGTGGATCAGAGTGAAGTGCTGCTTCATCCAAAGGGAACAGTAAAGTAAATTAGTGTCCACTCAGAGATGACGGGAGAAAGGGCGGCTCCTTCACTGGGATCTCATTAGGAAAATTAAATGTGTGGATAATACTATGTCAGACCATTTGGGAGCAGAGACTATAAAAAGAAGATCTGAAATGTTATCGGCCTCATAAATCTTGGGTGTTATTGCTTATTTTCTTTACCCTGCGTCTGTAGAATGTCAAAGTCAGAATACTGAGGTGTAGGTGGACGACGTGTGGCGTCGATTCCATGACAACAGAGACACCAAAGAAGATGGAAATCAGTGGAAAAGAACCCAAAGTCGTCCTGTGTTGTTCACTGACCCCGTATCGTTTTACCCTGAAGGCCTCGTTCACTCACGGTTTAAAGTTCCCGTCAGAAACAACACAGCACACGTGACTTCCTCACTGCAAAGACGCTGCATAATCTCCAAATAATGGGCAGTTACATGCAATTACATTTACTTTTCACTCTGAGCTGCAGCAGCCTGACACAGGGACTCAAACACTGTGTCGACTGTGTGTTTTCTGTCTTCCCTCCATGGTCTTCCCTCTTGTCCCTACATGCCCGGACAGTTTTTTCGGAGCCTCGGGTTTCACCTTACAGGTGAGGAATGATCTGTTTTTCTCCACTCGGTTGGGATTGTGATATGTTTGCGGTATGGTTCAGGTTTTTTTTTTTAGACAGGGCGTACCCCCGGAGAAGTCTTTATCCTGTAATTCTGCCAATGTCCCTTCACTTTGTCAACAGAGATATTATTTGCTCAAGATAAAGCCTCTCAGCTATGTTTCCAAGGGGTTAAGAGGTTGTAGGTTAGGGTTAGAACTGTGAACAACATCCGCGTCCCTCAGCCGACAGAATTTGAAGAAAACTAACGTCATCCTGATAAAATGTCCTGCCTCTGAGCGTCGCCTCTGAGCGTCGCCTCTTCATTTCAAATCTGGCCCTGAAATGAGAGGATCAATGAGCAGCTCAGCAGGGTGTGTGCTGCTGCTCTCTGGATATTATTGATTTTTCATGTCTATTATTCACACACTCAAAGTCTAACATGGAGTTTTTCCAACAATGACAACTGCACAACCTCCTCCCTCACTGGTGAAACCATAATCAACAATTAATCCCACATCTCGTACACTCAAAAATATAATTATTGAATTATGTATTTCAATCACATATTCAATTTCCAGGTAATTTTATTCCTTAAGTTCAATGTAACGGGTCACATTTAATGAAGTGTTTTGAGTTAGTGTGAATAAATCAAGTTATTTGATTTACTCACACTAACTAACTAAGACTGATTTGATCAAATAAATTGTGTGTTTAAAGTTTAAATGTATGTATGTTAACATTATTTAAAATCATTCTGAAGTTATTCACTGGTATGGATGGGACATGGGGGACAATTTCCCAGAGAATAATTCATGGATCTTGATTTTAAAAACAGGCCCATTTAGAAGACTGATATTTATTGCATCACATTTAATTCACCTGCCGCTTTGATCCAAAGCAATAAGTGAATTTATAAGCGTGCGATATTCGGTGCAGCTCGATCGAGCCTTATATTGTGGAGTGTTGCAGTAGAATGGAACAATTAAGTGAAGTATAAATACTGCAAAATCATACTTAAATACTGCACATGTTCGCTCTCTGCTACTCTTCAGGTCTTTTTCTAAGCTCTTTCTCAATGGGAAGGTGTAACAGTGAAGCCTCAAGGTATAATGACTGATAATAACAGCTTTTATCTTTTAAATGGTCTAACGTACATATTCTGGGAGGAAGAAAATATAAATCAATAATAATCTGGGAGCGTAGTGTGCTCAGTGTGATGCTGCTGCAGAGAGCTGACTGTACAGATTCTCCACTAACCCACTGACCTGCATTGCAGAGGCACATTTTCTTTCTCTCTGCAACGTGCTGTGTTTGTTTAAACAGGAAACACACTGTCTTCAGCCATGCTGCCCTCTAGTGTTCACACACAGTTCTGCCATAGGCACCTGTTTGGTTTATGTAGTCAATAAATTTAAATGTGGCTGTTTAGGTACATATGCTTTAAGTAACAAATATAAAGGTACGTTCATTATGCACAATGACTCAGAATAAAGTATAATTATTGATCACTTTAATGTTGCAGCTGGAGCTCATTTAGGATTTCCAGCCAGTGATCAATAATTTATATCTGTAATTAAAAAAAAATCACAATTTAATCCGTTGATTACATTTTGTATGATTGATCTGAATTTTAAGGTTTATTAACAGAAACTGAGTTAAAAGTACAATCTGAAATGATGTGGAGTATAAGTATAAAGTAGCATAGGAATATGAGTTTTACTTTTCCACCAGTGAGTTAAGATTATCTGAAGAACACAGATCTGAACAGTTAATGAGTAGATTGTGTCTGGGTAAATATATAACCCTGTTTTACTTGGTTTGTTTTATATGTTTTAAAGCAAAGGAACACAGGTATTATCCAATGACACCGTGTACTATCGATACATGCGTATACATAATATATAAGCTTATTTCATCTGTATGTAGTTGTCTTGAGTTAACTTTCTTACTTGTTGTTTTGATCAATCTGGGTTTAAATTAGAATTTGATCATTTAAAGTTTTGATGTCATCTCCACATTTGCTTTTTTAAATATATTCAAACAGACTAATAATGATTAAATATTCATTTTACATTTGATCACCTGAGACTCAGAGGTCATCGCCACTGCCACCACAAATGAGTTCCGGTCATTATTTTCAAAATAAAACATGACATGCATGATTTCCTGGGTGAACCGTGTCCCCGGATCATGAGGCCCTCTGGTCGTTTTATTTTGAAGGCACATCACTTGGTATCCGGCTCGGGGCTCCCGGTCAGTCATGGTCATATGAAAAGCTCCGGCGAGGCGGCGGCTGTTCGATCCCCGACCCTCCGTGCAGGCTTCGCTCTCCGCGGTGGAACCATGGCCCTGACCCGCCTGGAGACGCTTCAGCTGTGGCTCTTCAAGGCCGTGATGGGAGCTCTCTTCCTGCTGTTCCGCCTCTTCTCGCCTCGGACCGGCGGGAGGAAGAAGCTGCCGCCGCTCCGCAGTCACTTGCTGGAAGTGTCCGCGACGCAGCTCGCCCAGAAGATCCGGAGGAGAGAGGTGTGTTCCCCCGGTGCAGCCCGGTGACAGCCGGGCCCGAGACCCGGGCCTTTACCTCTTCACTTAAAGACACGGTTCCCTCTTTTTTATTTATTTATTTATTTATAATTAAA